GATCGGGCGATCCAGTCCGAACCGGGATCATTTCCCCCCTGTTTTGATTCCATGCCTCTGTTTATACAACCAAGGATTGTATTGGCTTTTTTGGCTGCTGCCGCACAGTGCCACACTCTCCAAGGGAATCCCAGTGGGATTTGGAGCTCCCATCCTTGTACGGGGCTCTGCTCAAGCAGGAGACCCTACACCTGTGATGGTGAACATATGGCATGCGTGACAGAGGTGGCATGCAGAGCCCTCTCTGTGGGCTCGTACGCTGTCGCCAGCTGATCTTCGTGGGTGGCGGAGCACCGGAAAACGGTCCAAAAAACAGCCTGAAAAACTGCCTGGAAAACAGCCTGAAAACGGCTGAAAAACAGGCCATTTTCAGGCCGTTTTTCAGGCTGTTTTCTGGCCGTTTCTTGGGCCACTAGAGTGGGGAGGCAAGGAACCTTGTGGGTCCCATCTCCTAAGGAGATCCATGTGGTGGCAACCCAAAGAAGGGCCTTCTTGGTGGTGGCTCCCTCCCTCTGGAATATTATCCCTGCAGAAATTAGATTGGGTGCCACCTTAGCAGTTTTCAGAAGGCCCCTGAAGGTTTTGCCACCAGGCCTGGGGAAGCCAGAGTGGGATGGAGCCTATCGAATGGCTCATCTCCTCTCCGCAAACCCCACTCCCTTCTATCATGGATGATGTTACCTAGTTGGGTCATGAAACGTCTGCAAGAAAACCACCAAGCTCAGAGAGCACCTAGGACCCAACAGTCGTTGTCCTCCTCCTCCTCCTCCTCCTCCTCCTCCTTTCCACAACCTCCCACCTTCTAGCACTGATGATGTTCCCTAGTTGGGTCATAAAATGTCTGCAAGAAAACCACCCAACTGAGAGAGCACAAATATTCTTTTCTATCAGGATTGCAAAAGCCCAATGACACAGATTTCGCATTCGAGCTCCGATCTAAGACGAATATTGACAGGAGATCGAGGAATTAAGGCAAGAGAAGAGCCAAAAAGACACGGCCGAAAACAGGAAGACCAAAAAAAAAACCCTAATTGATCCAGGACCGGATCAAAATGCATTGTGACAGATTTGCCCACCCCAAGCAAAAGCTGGAAAAACAAAAGGCTGCATTAAGAAGCCATCGTCGTCTTCCCCCAAACCACGGAATTTGGCTGGTTGGGAAGGTTTTCCAGACCTCATTAAGCTGGAATCGCTGCCTTAAACGAAAAACAACCCTCGTCTAAATGAAAAACAGTCTCTTTTCATCAGACGTGTGCGAGGGTATTAAAAGAAACTCTATCTGGGGGCCAAACGGTTGGCCTCCGCTCGCGAAGACTCCCAGGATGACATAATGAAAAAAATTTCACAATCGCAGACGCAATATTTGCTGCAACTCCAGCAATTCTGCGAAACGTGCATTTATAGGCCTGTAACACTTGCGATACGATCTTGTAAGGTGGGAATGCAGCGCCTCTTCCCTTTCCCCCCCCCCACCACCGCCCCCCAATCAGAGGCCTAAGGAAGGCAGTTAGGGGGCCCCACTCATGCAGCTCCCAACCAGACAAGATTTACAAGGTAACTGTCATTTACGATGTAAGAAAAGATGTGGAGACTCTGGAAAGCGTGCAGAGAAGAGCAACAAAGATAATTAGGGGAGTGTAGGATAAAACATAGGAAGAACGGTTGCAAGAAATGGGTGTGTCTAGTTTGACTGAATCAGAATAGAGCTGGAAGGGGCCTTGGAGGTCTTCTAGTCCAGCCCCCTGCTCAGGCAGGAGACCCATTTTAGACAAGTAGCTGTCCTACTCTCTTCTTCAAACCCTCCAGTAGATGGAGCACCCACAACTTCTGGTGGCCAGCTGTTCCACTGGTTTGAAGAGAAGGACTAGGAGGGACATGATAGCAGTGCTCCAATATTTGAGGGGGGTCAAGCTATTCTTCAAAGCACCAGGAGGCAGGAGAAGCAACGTAGAAGCAACGGGTGGAAATTAATCAAGGAGAGAAGCAACGTAGAACTAAGGAGAAATTTCCTGACTGTGAGAACAATTAATCAATGATCTCTGTATCTGTAGGGATTACAGTCACTATAGTCTACAACTAACCTTGGTATATTTGATTATAGGTAGTCCTCGACTTACAACAATTCATTTAGTGACCGTTACAGAGGCAGTTAGAAAAAGGAGTGACTAATGACCAGTTTTCATTCTTGCGACTGTTGGCAGCATCCTTGAGATCACATGATCAAAATTCAGACGATCGGCAATTGACTCGTACTTATGACCGTTGCAGAGTCCCGGGGTCATGTGATCCCCTTTTGCGACCTTCTGACAAACAGAGTCAAGGGGGAAGTCAGTTTGGTGTAGTGGTTAAGGGGCCAGCCTTGAAGATCTAGTCCTACCCCGGGCATGAAATCCGGTTGGGTAACTTTGAGCCAATCACCAGGAGACGGTGAGTTCTAGTCCTGCCTTAGGCATGAAAGCCAGATGGGTGACTTTGGGCCAATCACTAGGAGACAGTGAATTCTAGTTCCTCCCCTTAGGGATGGAAGCTGACTAGGTGACTTTGGGCCAATCACCAGGAGACGGTGAGTTCTAGTCCTGCCTTAGGCATGAAAGACAGCTGGGTGTCTTTGAGCCAGTCCCTTCCTCTCAGCCCAACCTACCTCACAGGGTTGTTGTGATGGGGGAAATAGGAAGAATATCAAGCATTTCTATTTATATGTCAGGTATGTTTATTTATAAAGGTGGGATAAAAATCGAAGGAATAACTAAAGAAATAAGCATCCGAATGTTGCAAACGTCAGGGAACAGCCGCTCAGGTGAGGCGGAGGGACTCAAAGGCAGCCAGAATCTCTGGGTGGGAGAGGCCCCCAACTGGGAAGAGGAGGAAACCTGGGGGCACCTGGAAGAAAAGAGAAGGGAGACCACCCTGGGGCCAGGTGACCTCCGCAGAGCAAGGAAGGGGAGGGGCAGGGAAATAAGGCGTCCCTCTTCCAGGCTCCCCTGTCCTGCTGGACCATCCCCAAAGGCCCCCCCGGGGAAGGATTTCTCCCGGGAGCTGCACCACCACCTGGCTGGGCTGCCTTACCTGCGTTTCCCCCCTCCCACTCGCTGGATTTCTATGCCCCTCCAAGCCCCTCCCCATCTCTGCTGCCTCTACAATCGCTTTGGGAAAGCAGGATAAGTTAGCTAAATAAATAAACATGCAAAATGAGCATGCAAAATAAATAAATCAATAAATGTGCTAGACAAACAAGTAAATTTGCCAAATAAATTTGCTAAACGAATAAAATTTGCTAAAATAGATGCGCTCAACAAATGAATCAACATGCTGAAACGAATAAATGTGCTAAACAATAAATAAATAAAGGTGCTAAATCAGTAAATTTGCAAAATAAATCCGCTAAATAAATCAGTATCCTAAACAATAAAATAAACAAATATTCTGAATGAACAAATGTGCTAAATAAACAAATCAATATCCTAAAGAATAAATAAATGCAGATAGTCCTAGACGTATGACCACAATTGAGCCCAAAATTTCCTTTGCTAAGTGAGACAGTTGTTAATAGCAAAAAGCCCTTAGACTTATATACCGCTTCCCAGTGCTTTTACAGCCTTCTCTAAGCGGTTTACAGAGTCTGCCTCTTGCCCCCAGCAATTTGGATCCTCATTTTACCCACCTGGGAAGGAGGGAAGGCTGAGTCAACCTTGAGCCGGGTGAGAATCGAACTGCCAAAATGCTGGCAGTCAGCAGGAGGAGCCTGCAGTTCTGCATTCTAACTACTGCGCCAACACGGTTAAAGTGAGTTTCGCTCCATTTTTACAATCTTTCTTGCCATGGTTGTTAAGTGAATCACCACAGATGTTAAGTTAGTAATACGGTTGTTAAGTGAATCTCGCTTCCCCATTGACTTTGCTTGGGAGAAGGTTGCAAAAGGAGATCACGTGACCTCGGGACACCACAACCATAATAAATATAAGTCAGTTTACAAGTGTCCGAATTTTGATCATGTGACCACAGGGATGCTGCAACAGTCTTTAAGTGTGAAAAATGATCATAAGTCATTTTTTTCAGTGCCATTGTAGCTTTGGTCACTAAATGAACTGTTGTAAATTGAGAACTACCTGTAAATAGGAATAAGAAAATCGAAAAATTGGAAGGGACCTTAGAGGTCTACTAGTCCAACTCCCTGCTCGGAATCACAGAATAACTGAGTTAGAAGAGGCCTTGGAGGACTTGTAGTCCAATCCCTACTTGGAATCAAAGAACAACGGAAGGGACCTTAGAGGTCTTCTAGTCCAACCCCCTGCTCAGAATTGCAGAACAACAGAAGGGACCTTGGAGGTCATCTAGTCAACCCTCTGCTTGGAATCACAGAAGAACAGAGTTAGAAGAGGCCTTGGAGGATTTGTAGTCCAATCCCTGCTTGGAATGAAAGAACAACGGAAGGGACCTCAGTGGTCTTCTAGTCCAACCCCCGCTCAGAATTGCAGAACAACAGAAGGGACCTTGGAGGTCATCTAGTCCAACCCTCTGCTTGGAATCACAGAAGAACAGAGTTAGAAGAGGCCTTGGAGGATTTGTAGTCCAATCCCTGCTTGGAATGAAAGAACAACGGAAGGGACTTCAGTGGTCTTCTAGTCCAACCCCCTGCTCGGAATCACAGAATACAAAAAGGCCTAAGAGGTCATCTAAGTCCAACCCCCGCTCAGAATTGCAGAACAACAGAAGGGACCTTGGAAGTCATCTAGTCCAACCCCCTGCTCAGAATCACAGAATAACAGAATTAGAAGAGGCCTTGGAGGTGTTGTAGTCCAATCCCGACTTGGAATGAAAGAACAACGGAAGGGACCTCAGAGGTCATCTAGTCCGACCCCCTGCTCCGCATCACAGAATAACAAAAAGGGCCTAAGAGGTCATCTAGCCCGACCCCCTGCTCAGGCAGGCAAGTGAAGAAAGAAAGGTGCCAAAGAGCCGCCTTCTTTCCCGGGGCCCCGAAGGAGCCGGGCGCCGCTCACCTGGATGTAGGCGCGCTGCAGGTAGCTGTAGGGCAGGCGGCGCTGGAAGTCGGCGAGCACCTCCTGGCTGGCGGCGGGGGCGGCGGCGGCCTCGGGGCCCAGGCAGGCGCGGAGGCATCGGGCGCGGCGGAGGAAGGCGCCGGCCAAGGGCAGCGGCTCCGGCCCGGCCTCCAGCGGCTCTTCCCGGCGGCAGCGCAGCCCGCAGCCCGCTCGCTTCTCCCGCAGCCGCCGCTCCGCTCGCAGCGCCCGCTCCAGCCCGCGCGCCGCCCCCGCGAAGTCCGCCCGCCGGTGCGCCTCCAGCCCCGCCGCGTACAGAGCCTCGAAGGGCGCCTCGCACTCGCCGCTCGCCCGCAGCGCCTCCGCCAGCAGCGCCAGCAGCGCCAGCAGCCGCAGCCCCGCCGCCATCCCGCGCGGGCAGGTGGAGCCCCCCGCAAGCGCTGCCCGGCTGCGGAGGAGGAGGAGGAGGCGCCGCTTCGCTTCTCCGCTGGCTCGGCTCCGCTCTGCCGGTCCGCGCTCGGGCGATCCCCGGCGTCGCCTGCTTCTCTCCTCCCTCCTGGCCCGCCCCTTCAGCCGGGCGCCCCGCTCGGCAAGCATCCGCAGGGATCCCGACCCTGCGCCCTGGAGGGAATCGCCCCCAGATTCCCCAGCCAGCCCGCTCGATCCCCAAGGGGGGATTCTCCGCGCCGTTGGCACCTTTGATCCATAGACCGGGGGTCCAATGATCCTCCAAAGCCCCCGAAGGCAGGACAAGAAGCAACGGAGGCAAAGGAATCAAGGAGAGAAGCAACCTGGAACCAAGGAGAAACTTCCCAACAGTGAGGACAATTAACCAGTGGAACGACTTGCCACCAGAAGTTGTGGATGCTCCAACACCTTAAGAAGAGACTGGACATCCCCCTGTCTGAAAAGGGATAGGGTCTCCTGCTTGAGTAGGGGGGTGGACTAGAAGACCTCCGAGGCCTCTTCCAGCTCTATTAACAGAATACAGAATAACAGAGTTGGAGGGGACCTTGGAGGTCTTCTAGCCCAACCCCCTACTCAAGCAGGAGACCTTCTACCATTCCAGACAAATATTTCTCCAGTCTCTTCTTAAAAACTTCCCATGTTGGAGCATCCACAGCTTCTTGTGGCAAGTTATTATTTCTGGAGGCAAGTTATTGTGATTGGTTGGTTGGTTGATTGATTGATTGATTGATTGGCATTTGATCCCTACAGTCAATCAGGGATAAGGAGTCGGTGGAGGAGAGACCACGGGGAGATCCCCCAGGTTGTAAACTAGACTAGGAAGAAAATCAATCCACCCCGAAATAAATTAGCCAGCTGTTCTGCCCCAGCTCCAGATTCCTGAGGATATTGATACACACCAACGGTCCTTATCAAATTTATTAGGTAGCAAGAATAAACCAAAAGTCCGGCAAAGGTTGGCAACCAGCCCAGAAAACAGGATATGATAAACCAAAATACTGTGATAATAAATATGAGTTGTTTCTAGCAAGAAACTTACTAATGGTGTGTGACTTAAATAGGCTAAGGGAGTGGCCAATTATCCTCAAGCCTTACTCTCAAGGATACCTCCTCCTCCTGAGTAGCCACTCCTGCCATTTGGCAGCCCTGCGTGCTCCAGCATTGAGGAGAGGCTCCTCCACTTCGCTCTCTCCACTTGAAGGAGCCTCTGGAGGATCTGAAGGCCCTGGCTGAGTCTCTCTGCCTCTGGCACCACATCCTCTTCAGCCTCCTCGCTGTCCGACGCGAGCGCTGGCTGCGCAGGCTGCTGGCGCGACAACACACCAGCCTCCTTGTTGTCGGGATCAGCCACAATCCGCACAGGCCGCTGGTGGGCCACAACACTGGCTGAGTTTCCCCCCTGTCCAAATGCTCAAATTAATTAAGTTAATCTCATTAGAGCCGAGATGCTAATTTACTGACCTCTTTCTCCCATTTCCAGGATTGTTGTAAGCCACCCGGAATGACTCGATAGGAAGCTGGGGCAGCATATTGATTGAACAAATAAATTTATTATTTATTTATTTATTTATTAATCAAATTTCTATACCGCCCTACTCCCGAAGGACTCAGGGCAGTGAACAGCCAAGATAAAATACAGATAATACAAATATTAAAAATCCCTTAAAATTATTAAATATTTTGGCCGAAACACAGATTAAAACACCCAATTTATAAAATCACGAATTAAAAATTTAAAAGAGGAGAGTTAAGCCAGGCCAGCCTGCTGAAATAAAAAAGTTTTGAGAGCACGACGAAACGTGCGCAAATAAAATAACTTTAATCCATGTTCTTATGTAAACTTTCAATCAGGTTGAGGAATTCTGGGAGTTGAAGTCCTCAAGTCTTAAAGTTGACAGCTTTGGAGACCCCTGCCCTAGTGGGGCAGATGGCCCTCTCCCATTCTAGATAGATGTACAGAGGTGGAAGATTTAAGCTTAGAGCAGTGTTTCTCAACCTTGGAAGCTTGAAGCTGCTGGCTGGGGGATTCTGGGAGTTGAAGTCCACCCATCTTCAAGGTACCAAGGTTGAGAAACACTGTCTTAGAGGAACCCCACAATTTAGGGAGCTGGGTTCGATTCTCTCCCCCATCAACATTCTCTGGAGCTGGTTTAGAGAAAGGAGGGGCAGTGGGAACCCCCTCCATTGCCATAACCCACAGAAAAAAAAACCTGGTTGATGGTCCCAAAAGCCGATATTTAAAAAGGTCAAAGATAATTGACAAGCCCAGCTAATACCGTCGCCATGCTAAATTGACTTAGGGAACAAAAAATAATAATTCAATCTGATAGCCCCCCTCTTCATTTCTACAGAAAAGGTACAAGTAAATAACCTTGTTTATTCATTATTTCTTTATGAATTAAATTTCCACACTGCCCTTGTCAGCTGAGATATTCTGGGGAGGTTTACAACCTCATAATGAAATCATATGAAGACTTATTTATTCCATCAAGCCGGCCTAGCCTAAATGGTTCTTAATTGGGATTTTAAATTTTATAGACTTGGGGGTTTTAAATTGGGAAGCCAATTATTTAATTCTTTTTAATTATCTTAACTTGTGTATTGTATGTATTTTTAATTTTGGCTGTTCACTGCCCTGAGTCCCTTCTGGGAGAAGGGCGGTATACAAATTAATTAATTAATTAATTAATTAATTAATTAATTAATTAATTAATTAATTAATTAATTAAATAAATAAATAAATAAATAAATAAATAAATAAATAAATTAAAATAAAATAAAATAAAATAAAATAAAATAAAATAAAATAAAATAAAATAAAATAAAATAAAATATAAATACAGGTAGCTGTTGACTTGAAACAGTTCATTTAGTGACTGTTTAGAAACCATGGATGGGAACTCACGCAGGAGAGAAGCAACCTGGAATTAAGGAGAAATTTACTAACCCTGAGAAGAATTAACCAGTGGAACAGCTTGCCACCAGGAGTTGTGGGTGCTCCATCACTGGAGGTATTTAAAAGAGACTGGACAGCCACTCTCTAGGGCAGAAGTCTCCATCCTTGGCCACTTTAAGCTTTGCTGGCTGGGAAATTCTAGGAATTGAAGTCCTCCAGGCTTAAATTGGCCAAGGTTGGAGACCCCTGGTCTAGGGTCTCTTATTTGAGCCTGGGGTTGGACTAGAAGACCTCCAAGGTCCCTTCCAGTCTGATTGACTGTTTAAAGTCGCAACGGTCCTGTAAAAAGAGACTCGTGTTTCACAATGCTACGCCCGCTGTAGCATCCTCACGGGCACATGATCAAAATTCAGAGGCTTGGTTCCATATTTAGAATAGAATAGAATAACAGAGTTGGAAGGGACCTTGTAGGTCATCTAGTCCAACCCCCCCCCAGCCCTAGCAGGAGATGCTAGAACAGTGATGGCTAACCTTTTTGCCGTCGTGTGCCAAAAATGAGGGGAGCACAGGGGGGGTTACACCCATATGTACCCCCACCCATAATTCAGTATGCCCCACCCCCACGCACATGTGCGTGTGACACCCCTGTGTGTTCCCCGCTTTTGGCATGCGATGGCACAGTGGGCCCAGTAGACCCGTTTTTCGCCCTCCCCAGGCTCCAGAGGCTTTCTTGGAGCCTGGGGAGGGCAAAAACAGCCTTCCCCACCCCTTCCAGAAGCCCTCCAGAGACTGGAAATAGCCTGTTTCCTGACTTCTGGTGGGCCCGGAAGGCCCGAAAATCAGCTGGGAGCTGAGCTAGGGCAATGCTCGTGTGCCCACCGATATGGTTCTGCATGCCACCTGTGGTTGGCCATCACGGTGCTAGAACATTTCTGACAGGGGGCTGTCCAGTCTCTTCTGGAAAACCTCCAGTGATGCTTTTTTAGGACAGTTGCAGTATCCCAGAGGTCTTGTGATCACGTGATTCCCCTTTTGACACCTTCTGACAAGCAAGGTCAACGGGGAAACCAGATTCACTGAACGACCATGTTACTAGCTTAACCACCACAGTGATTCGCTTAACAACGGTGGCAAGGAAAATGGGGCAAAGCACACTTGGCAAATATCTCGCTTAGCAGCAGTCATTCTGGGTTTAACTGTGGTCGTAAGACTTATTTTAAATCAGTGTATATTTCTGAAACAAACATTATGGCCAGGAAACCTCGTTCTTCCATCTCTTTCTCCAGAAGTGTACACTCCAGCTGTGTTTAAAGGGAAAGGTTCCCCTCGCACATACGTGCTAGTCGTTCCCGACTCTAGGGGGTGGTGCTCAGCTCCATTTCAAAGCCGAAGAGCCAGCGCTGTCCGAAGACGTCTCCGTGGTCATGTGGCCAGCATGACTCAATGCCAAAGGCGCATGGAACACTTATCTTCCCACCAAAGGTGGCCCCTATTTTTCTACTTGCATTTTTTTTTACCTGTTTTCGAAGTGCTAGGTTGGCAGAAGCTGGGACAGGTAACGGGAGCTCACCCCATTAGGCCGCACTAGGGATTTGAATTAGGGGTCGGCTGAACTGCCGACCTTCCGATTGACAAGCTCAGCGTCTTAGCCACTGAGCTACCACATCCCTGTACACCAGCTGTGTTTACACAACCACAAAATCAAGATCATTACCAACGTGAGGGCTGCATTTATAAAGCAGCCTAAGCGAAGATGGATCGACTATATACAAAACAAATATGGGACTAAAAAGTTGCAAATAGTTTATGAATGAAATATTCAGATGATTTCTTTTTCTTTCTTTTTTTTCTTCTATTTTGATATCTTAGTATCTATGGCGGAGTTAAAGAGTAAGGGGAAGTTAAGAATTTATAGTTAGTTTGCGTATGTTAGATTATGTTTGTTAAATGCAATACCCTGTATTTTGCTCTGAGAAGTCGGGGGGGGGAGGGAGAGGGGAAGGGGGGGAAATTTGTTTGTAAAATATTTTAAAACTTTTCAATAAAAAATAAAAAATAAAGCAGCCTAAGCTTGGTTACTTTTAAGGTAGTCCTCGACTTACGACCACAACTGAGCCCAGAATTTCAGTTGCTAAGCAAGACATTCGTTTTGTCCCATTTTACACCCTTTTTTGCCGCAAGAA